AATATAGACAAAACGTTCTCTACTTAATTAAATTGACTTTTTAATAAATGTTTTCTCCTACAACATCAGACTGCAGCGGCACATTAAATACGCACTACAATGACAATAGTTTAAAGCGATTTGAAGCATGTTTTATTTGGGGGGGGGGCAAAGCTTTGTGACGTCATATTTGAGAGGGGGGTCTGAGTTTATGTGACGCCGTGTGACGAGGGGAGGGGGGGGTCAAAAATCGTCCAAAATCGCGTGACGTCATTTATGGACGGCCGTACTTACGACTCGAACCGAGGAGCGATTTTGTTCGGCGGGGAGATCCCTCGCGAGGTGTTAACGGGTTCCAGCACCCCGCGTGATGCACGCCCTTTCTGAAGAGCAAGCCCCAGCAAACAGGACTCAAGGTACGTGAAAATAAAACTGAATTATCGTTCTTATTACTTTATTTTACGTTTCTTTTACGGTGCAGTATTTATTACAGGATTGCATGCAAATGTAAAAACGTGTCTTCTTATTCATGAGTTTAGCAATGCGTCCCTTTTTTGCTGAACCATAACGCATTTTATTTACAGTACGTACAATGCATCTTGAGTTGTGAGAGATTCGAACAGATCGACTGAAGAACGTGTCTCAGGAACATAACTCGTTCGTAAGTCGAGGAATGTCCGACCACCCTTAATCACAATTTTCGCATTCGTCATGCAGTTTTGCATTGCTCTTCTTGAGCTCTGAGTCATGAAGAGGATGTTAGAGCCATACATCCATGCACGCTATGTGTGTGAGTCTGTGTATGTGTGTGAGTCTGTGCGTGTGTGTGAGTGTGTGTGTGTGAGCCTGTGTGTGTGTGTGGGGACCGGTTGTGTAGTGGTTAGCGCGCCGCGCTACGAACCTGGCGACCAGAGTTCAATTCAGGCTCATGGTGAACACCGGTGACGATTATCTGAACTAGTCCTGGGCTTCCCCTAGGTCGACTCAGCTTCAAATAAATACCTGATGCGATGTGTGTATGCCGCCACTAGGGAGACAGAGGCGGGCGGGCATGGCGCTGGTTACCCACCCCCTCGTGTGCTGTACCGGCTTTTATAGGTTCTCGCTCACAGCACTTGCCCCAAAATGATGTTCAGGCTATGTGGGGAAATTGTGTGTATGAGCGGAGCGCCGGGCAACTACCAAGCAGCGAGTTGGCAGAGTAGGGAGCACAGGTGGTGCATCCGCCAGCCATCTCAGTCGATCCACGGCACTTCCCGGGGTCGATCCCGCGACCTCCTGTCAGCCGGAGCCTTCCACACTTCACGTGGCCTCGAAGTGCACCGAGCTTAACACGAGCACCGGAGTGACATCAACGCCACTTAGTGGTGAATGGCGGCTGTTGTTGTGTGCGTGAGAGCGCTGTGAGTGCGCTCGTGCAGTATTTCGACTTGTGTATCAGAGTGCGAATGTGTCAGCGCGTCTGTTTTTGTGTGCGCGCGGGCGCGCATATAATAACTTCGCTACGAACCCGCTGGCTTGAGTTCGATGTCCGAAAACAGTAACGAACATATTATTGGCTCTTTCGGTAAAGTCACGTAGAAGGGAAATAATAAAATAATAAATAATAAAACTATAAAATTCTCACGACGTTTCGATTATGGTGAAAACCACGGCAAGAAAACTTTCTTGCCGTGGTTTTTACACCTGATGATGATTGATTGTGTTGCAATCGAAACGTCGTGATAATTTTATTGTTTTATTTTTATTATTTTATTGTTTACCTTCTACGAGACTTTAACGAAAGAACCAAGAATAATAATCCCTGCAGTCACGAAAGCTTTAAATCGAAAAGTAACGAATATTTGAACCAGTCGTCGGGTATCTCCGAGGGCGATATGCCTCAAATGACTCGTGTGCCTGGTGCGGGTGTGTTAACATCAGCAATGGGGCCACCACAAAGGCGGTCGGGCACAGTGTTGTCCACCCACACCCCCTCGTGTGCCGTGCCGGCCTTAATAGGTGCTCGTTAAAAGCACTTGCCCCAACAGTCTGCTCAAGGCGAGAAGGGGGGATCGTGGTCTTGTGTGCACGTAAGGTTGTGCCCGAGTGGCAGTGAAGTGCGTGTCTCAGGATGTGGTGAACTCTCCTCCAGATCAACAGGAGGCGAAGAACGAAACTGTGGCGGGCGGTGGCTGTCGATGCTCCCCAACGTACTAAAACATCCATGGTGGGATGCAGGCGAGGCTGAACAGTCAGATCACCTGTTGTGACCTAATTTCCCAGGTGTGGAATGAATTGGCCCCTGAGAAGAGAGCAATCTTCTTAAGTGACTTTAATGCCCAAATATATGGGAGCACCTCGGTGGGAGTGACTGAAATGCATTGACTAAGTCAGCTACGCAAGGATTGTAGGAGACTGATAGATTTTGGTGCATCCCGTTGGCTTGTTATAACGAACACGCTGTTCTGTTACAAGTGCATCCACATATGCTAGTTCAAAGTACGCCAGTTCCAAGAACTTCTGCTGAACTATGTAGTGTTGGAACAGTGAATGTGGGCCCTTGTTCTTGACATTAGGATATGCACATTCAGACAGCTTGAGCGGACCATTAATAACTCTTTAACAGCACTGAAACTGCTTCATAGCGATACTCTTATTGACAGCCTTGTTCATGGGAGGAATTGTTATCTCATCTCCAACCGCGGGGATCAGGTCCACAATTTCGCTGCACATTTTTGGTGAGGTCTCAAGGCGGAAATAACTCCTCAATCCTTACAGCATCATGGGACCACGAGGGCTGAGAATGCGAGAGATGTGGAGCTTCACATGTTGGAGGAAGTAGCCACCCACTGTGAAAAAGGAGATTTGAAGTCTGAGCTCTTTATAACTGAATGTGTGCAGAGACTGTCGGCACCAGTCTGCCCATGGCCAGCTCCAGTTTGGCAGCAGAGGTCTCAACCCAAATCGGTCGAGTGGAATTATTTTTAGATCGTCTCTGTAATGCTGTAAAGTCTGCCAGGCCTGTCACGTCACGTAATTCTCTGTCATGGCCTCTCTATGCGTTTAAACACCTGTGCTAGCTGACCTGCCTACAATCCATCCTGGGTTCAACCATCCATGCTTGGTGTAACCAGGGCGGATTGTGCGAGCTCACAGAACCTTGAAAGATTTGGAGACAGTCCAGTCAGTGAGGTCCTCCAGCAGGTAAGTATGTGTTGGCTGGGTTATGTAGCCCACAAACCCAACCATCACATGTCCGTGAAGCTTATATTTGTCCAGATCGAGGGGCTAAATGGGATTAGTGGGTGCAGCACGGGCTGAAGAGCGGATGGATGGACTAACGTGGCAAAGAAGACTGGTAGGCGAGTGGAATTGGCAGTGACTGGCACCAATAGTGTCAGCATCGGTCTCTGTAGGGGCCGTTCGTGAAAGAGCCCGTTGGGCAGCTGGAGCCAGTCGTCCTCCAGCAACAGTAGGAAAGCAAATAAGCGATGCTCTCAACTATTAACATTGCTGGGTGGTGGGAGAGTGCAAGGTGATGCATCTGTCAGTCATCTCAGTTGGTTAGCCCAGAACACCTGGACCTTCGCCATGACTTCCCAGCGAGACTTTTACACTTTGCATGAAAGTGCGCCAAACCTGGTGCAAACACCGTCGCAAATAGTGGTCGTTGTGAGCAAGCCTGAATGAATGTGAATGCGTCAGAGTGGCTTGTATCATAGATCCCTTTCTTACGTGAACAATGTTTGTCGCTATTATTATATTCATATATGTTATGAGCTTCCATTTTTACCTGCGTTACTGGCCTTGGGCTGAGTGAACTATCACATTTCTATAACGAGCTTCAACCCCCCCCCCCCTCCCAGTAGACATGGAGCAGACTTTTAAGTTTGTGTGGGCTGCTTGCTGCATGTTTTGAAAGCATGACCACACATACCTGGTTCCTAGTGCAGTGTTGGAGGGGGTGGGTGTGGAGGAGGAGGGGGGGGGGGGTTACTTGCAGGCTAAGAAAACAGTTGCACAATGACGCCCACTATGTCTCGGGAAATATCTCGACGAACCGCACTCATTCCGGTATCGCGTTGTGCAGCCAGCGCACATGGCTCGGGAGCCGTCGAGTCGTTGCGGACGTTTGGCTTGGGTCCCACCGCGTGCGTGTCTGTGTGCGTGCCTGCACGGCGCATGTGGTTTTTGTTTTTTACGGGCCAGTCGCCCCCCCCTCATTGTGTGTGTGTGTTTTTTTTACGTGGGCTGTGAGAGTCAAGTGTCCTTGTGCGAAGCTTCGTCGAACAATATACAGGAACCGCACATGTTTCGGGGGTGACGTTGTGAAAGTCTGCGTTGGCTCAGAACAGGCTGATATGCATATTCAGCACCTACGCGCGCCATGCAAAACATTAATCGTGGGTTTTCCCCATGATGCATCACAGCCTAAATCTTGAATTTCTGGATTCGTTGCCAAGATTAATGATTAACATTAAAGGATTTACGACTGAGATTTATCTCAAGCTAGAAAGCCCTGCCGATGTAATCGGGTAAAGGAGGAATGTGCAGGATGGAGCAGTGCACGTTAGGTCGACAAGGTTTGGCGTGGGCACTCAGAGTGAGTGGTGGCACCGTGGCTAGCACGCTGCGCCTTGAACCGAGCCACGAGAGTTTGATTTCCAGCCACGGCCTACATCATTGGCCAGTGATATCTGAATCGGTCCTTCTTTCAGTACCCCCCTTCACCAACCTGCACTGAGCAGCGTGGTGAAGTATGGTAGATAAAATAATAATAAACCTTATGACTGACATGGCCTGGGGGAGACGTTCAACCATCGGTGGATTGAGAACCACTGGAGTTTCAGTGAACAAAAGAAACCGCTTTCCTCTTCATGAAAAAAGCCACGTGGTGGAATATTGAAAACACACCTTGGAGGTGATGTAGGCGAATTGTCACACATCAACATTATGCCCATAATGGCTTTTGGCATTGCATTATGCTTTGGGTTAAGTGCGCATTGTGCCTTTGTCTGTTTGTAATGTGTATTTTGAAGGTCATTCAAACGTGTTTCTTTGCCGTCGCGGTCTTGGGAGATGCTTCCAAGTTCCTGCACAAGAGCGGTAGCGGCTTGGCGATGGATCAGCAGCTCACGAAACTCACGCGGCTACGGGATCGCATTTTCACCGTCCTCGCTTTCCCTATTGGGACCGTGAGTAATCCCGGTTTCAGGACGGCCTCAACATCAGCACGTGTCCCCGTGATGAGTGTTCGTGCAGTTGGTTAACCTCACGTGACCCCTCTCGTGTTGAATGAAACAAATCTGCGCATCGTTTTTCACGCAGCTTTCTGACAATTTCACATCTTGAATGACCAAAGTCACATTCATTATCATCGTCAGCCACGGATTGAAAGCCTCCCCTAATTCCTTGCGAGCTCTCGTTGCCTTACGATAGGGATTCCAATGTCGAACAGCGCGAGAAAAAGAAGCAGAAGGAGAAAGGGTTGCGACCTGCTGTGCGATGGTTGAACACAGTCGGGGTGAGATAACGGTCAGTCAGTCTGGAATCACACTCAGAGGCAGAACGTGGGTTGCGTGTTTCGGTTTCCTGTGTCTCTTCCGCCCCCTCCCCCCCCACAGTTTGTGGTCATAGCCTTCTGGGCAATGTACTCCTGGGACAGAGAGATGGTCCATCCGCAGGTGCTCGACTCCTTCATCCCCGCCTGGCTCCACCACGGCATGGTGAGGCTCTTTCCGGGAGGGATGCATGTGGACAATGTCCGGCTAACGCGGGGGGGGGGGGGGCTTTAGGGCCTGCAGCTCACGGGGGGCCCCCGTTGGTTTTTTTTGTAGTGGCCCACCACAAAAAAGTGGAGTACGGGTGAGAATACGTCATTAAAAACCAAATAAGTAGCGTGCCCGCGCACGGATCAGAGCAACTCCCCATCTTTCACCAAGCCGCTGTGTTCGGTTGCCGCAGAACTGCTCGATTACATCGCTCGACACGCGGTCAGGTCGCCTGCCAGTTTCATCAGATGCGCCATAGGGAGAACGTGACGCGGGATGTTTAGTCGTATTTAAAAAGATGTACTGTTCTCTGCTTTATAATGGTTGCTTTGCAGCACCGTGGTGATGCACCCGATAGGTCATTTGGTGAATCCACGGCCTAACAAATTTGTATTACTACCAGTTATGGGCTAAAATATAAATGTGTTTGTTGTTCATTTTCATTTATATTCTTAGGTGTTTTCGGTAAAGTCACGTAGGTAAAACATCAAAATTAATAAAAATAATAAAATAAAAATAAAGATCACGACGTTTCGGAGGCAACACAAGTCTCCGTCATCAGGTGGGACAGTCACAGCCAGATCAGCTGCATCAAGTGAGGCAATGATTCAAGATGTAATCCCTTAAAAGCGAGTTGAGGGGGGGAGGAGAGGGGGGGGAGGGGCTCATCAGAATGTGGTAGCCAATGAATAGAAAGTATCGGGAGAGAAGGGCCAACAAAAAGGTGGGCGACGGCGTGGAAGCTATTGTGCGCAAGCGACACACTGCTGCCCACGCCAACGCATTGGGCAGAGAGGGGGGAGGTCTGATACACATGATAGAAAAGAAAAGAAAATGCGTATGTTTATACCAATGCTGGCTAAACAATGAAGAGATTACTGTTAAACACTGGGGAAGTTAACACTCGGTAAAGTAAAGTAAACTAGTGTCTGTCAGATAAGATGGTCAAAAAAGTGTAATTAAGTCTTTTTTGCGTGGTTAATAACATCTTTCCCCTCTCCTCCCCCCCTCAACTCGCTTTTAAGGGATTACATCTTGAATCATTGCCTCACTTGATGCAGCTGATCTGGCTGTGACTGTCCCACCTGATGACGGAGACTTGTGTTGCCTCCGAAACGTCGTGATCTTTATTTTTATTTTATTCTTTTTATTAATTTTGATGTTTTACCTACGTGACTTTACCGAAAACACCTAAGAATATGATTCCTTGCAGTCACGAAAGCTTCAAGTCTAGACATTTTCATTGAGTTTTACACTTCGTGCATAGCCAAGCTAAGCAACACGGACATATGTGGAGGTATTTAACAATCAAGGTAACGAAGTGAAAATACAGATAGGTGCCCCCCAAGACTACAACAAACCTAACCCGGCCCCGCTCACGGGTTCAAACCTTGCAGCGCCAGCGATCACCGCTCCACATACACAAGCTCGGGGATTTTTGTTTTAAAAAAGACACGCGCAGATTCCCCGCTCCCCCCCCCCCGTGTTACCCCCAGCACAGCACCGTGCTGCTCTTCCTGCTCTTGGAGATCCTCATGACGCCACATCGCTACCCAAGCAGAGCCATGGGCCTCCTCGGGACCATGCTCTTCAGCGTCGCCTACGTCGGCTGGTAGGGACACCTTGGTTGGGCGCCTCGCGTCAAACCACGGATTGAGCAAAGTTATCGCACTCCCTCGACTCAGACGTGCGTGCGAGATGATGGGAGAGTGGTGAAGGGGCAGCAGGGGCTGTGGGCCGATCGCAGCCGCGCGGCAGGAGCGACGAGGTCTTGGGGCTGCGTGGCAGGCGGCGCGTGAGATTTCACATTGCGACCTCAATTAAGACTTGAAGGCATTGTCATTATTGATGGTGCCGTTCTCGCGACTAGAGGTGAGCGAATGGAAATTTCAAGTTCAAGGGTCATTGGGAGCGCCGGTAGTGGTGGTGGTGGAGGAGGGTGATGATCGGAGGGGTTTGTAGGGGTGGCAGGGGGAAGCTGGGTGGAGGGGGGGGGGGCTTTTCGAGGAACATAGTCATATTTATAATATCACAATACATAGACAAGCTGGACAATTGCGGCTTGCAGCAGTGCTTCAACTCCTGTTCTCGCAGCCCACCACAGCACAGTGTTCATTCTAGATTTGACGTTTTCGTGACTGCAGGGATCCATACTCTTTGGTTCTTTCGGTAAAGTCACGTAGGTATAAAACAGCAGTTGCCCTGCTGTATCGGTTCCATCTGATCACGGTCGCTTGTGTTGCGATCGAAACGTCGTGATTTAATGTTAATTTTATGTTTTATACCTACGTGACGTTACCGAAAGAACCAAAGAGTAAGCACAGTGTTCCATGACTACCAACCACAGGTGCACGCCTTGTGCGGTAGCTTCGGTTGTGCCCCTACACCCTTTAAGGATCATCTCACACCTGTCCTCCTGTCCCTTCACTGGCTCCCTGACCGTACCAGTATTGATTTTGAGATTCTCTTGCTGGTATTCAAGGCCTTAAATGGACTTTCTCCTCCCCACATTCATGACCTCCTTCAGCTAAATATTCCATCAAGACTATTAAGATCCTCGGATTGTGCATTGCTCACTGTCCCACGGCTTCACACTTGGGGGTGGCGGTGCCTTTTGTAATTGCGGCACCAAAACTCTGCAACTCGTTGCCCTTCGAGGTCAGGACTTCCAAGACACTGCAAATCTCGACTAAAAACAGATCTGTTTAAAATCGCTTTCTCTCTTTAGTTATTTTCAAACGTCTTTGTTACATCACCTTTCCTTGGTTGATGTTAACTATTTCCGCCTTTTCATGCATAGCGCCCTAAGAATGATTGTTTACGGGCGCTTTGTGAATGTCAATTGTTATTGTTTATGAACAGAACATGAAGGTAATACTGCAATGAAACAGTGCACTGTGCTGGGTCATGAGAATAGCAATTAAGAAAAAAAACTGGCTGACAGACAGGGCTCAAAATGCATACCTGAGCAATGAGCCAAAACCACGAAGATGTTGAGTTTCAAATGTGGGTTTCAAGCACTTGCAGGTTGGGCGGCTCATCTCTGAATATAACAATCAATCAGCATTCCAGAAGTTGGTGGAGTGCTCTTGCTGTTCACCAGCAACACATCTAGCAACTCGGCAGCATTTGCGTGGCAAGTAACACAATGCTGGCGAAACTCAAAAAGTCGAGACCAGTCCGGAGTTTGCCTCCTTAAACAAACATTGGCCCAGAAATGAACAAAATATATATTTTGCATTCTATTTGCACTCCATATTGAGAGACGACATTGTGCCTGTATATTTGTTTAAAGTTATTTTTAATCTATTGCTGGATGAAGGCCTCTCCATGCCAGTCATGGGGTTGTTTGACCAGGGGCGGTTTCTTCATTAGGGCGATTGGGCGACGCACCACCAATCTCAGCCGTTACTGTGCCTCTGGATATAGTCCAATCAGCGTCATGTCACGTTCTGTGGAGTACCGCCTCTTTTTGGGCGATTTCACTCTGGCTGAGAATCGCCCCGTGTGGTCCCATAGACTTACATTCAAAGATGTTTTTTTTCGAAAGGCGGGCGCTGCAATGCATTCTCTATGGCTTCCGGGAGGGCTCGCACTAACGTGCTTACGTCATCATACGTAAGCACGTTTCCGCCACTGTGTTTGACCATACTTCACCATGCTGGTCAGTGCAGGTCGGTGAAGGAGAGGGTTCATGACTGGCTAAGATATCACTCGTAACCAATGTTAGATTATTTAGCCCACCGGTGTGTTGAAGAGAGAATCAACTGCATTTTAAACTTTGAGTACGACGTTTCGCTGGTAATTACAATCAGCTTTATCGGGCAAGAATGGTGAAGTTCTCCTGTTGCTCCCGGTCTTAAATAGAGCAGCTAACAAAAACGTGACACATTTTTTACTGTTTGGCCGTGTCGGGTGGTGGAGGGTTACGACACATTTATAAATAACGCGATCTGACCCATAAACCTATATTCTGAATAATACCGGTCGCGAAAGCCTACGTGTTAAACCAATGTTAGCTGTGGCCGAGAATCACGCTCATTTTGTTGCGTTGGCAAGCGTAGCGTGCTAACTGCAGTGCCAGCGCTCCACCTTGTTCATTTGAACGCGACTGATTGGGGACCGTTCCAACTCTGCGGAGTAAAATGGAGGCCGATTGTTGCGTAACAAATACTCTTGACATGTCACGTAGGAGTCCTATCTGAAACCCGGGTCCACACACCTGAGCGATCAGCTGCTCAACCGGTTTTCTCACACTCGAGACAACTCCACTCTCAAAGCGGCGATCCGCTCAGCGATTCGTCGCTGAGTATTTCGTCGCGCGAGCTGCGACCGGTTGCTGCAATCCATGAAGCGCGCCGTTGCGATGTCACCGTTGCGCAACCGCCAGCTCGGATGTGGACAAACAAGTAAACCCGTAAAAACAAAGTTTTTCACTATAAATCCTTTATATGCGTGGCATCGGGGCGGCTAGAGTCCTCTCGTCCTCTGGCTTGAGATGGCTGCCACCTATGGGTCAGATGATTGTCTGGCAGCATTAAACAATTGGTAATTAAATATTTAAAAAAAATTCCCTAAACAGTAAATTTTTTGGGAAATTTCACGAAAATGCATTGTCACGCACAACGAGTCTGTGTGCAAAATATCAGCTCAATTGGATCACGGGAAGTGGGTTAAAAAACGACCGAAAGATTTGCACGGTCCTAAGCAAGCAAGCGAACTTAATATAAAGGATTTAAAAAGAGCGGCAGGCGATTTACGTTTGCGCGGTCGCGGTCGCGATTTGGCTGCTCAACTGACCGCTCAGGTTTGGCGCCGGCGTGACGCTGGGTGATAATCAACGAGTTATTCGGCGATGTACGCTGCTCATTCTGGGGTCGTCTCTTTCTGCGAGATGTCAACGCGTGACACCAACGCGTAATCGGAATACGCCCAAGTTTCTGACAAACAAAAAAAACCCTGAAAAAAACCCACCGTTAAACAACGTACAGTGTTTAAAACCCCACTAAAAAGTGGGGATGAAACAGTTGATGCTGTACAAGGCGAATGTGCATCAGCCTGGTTAGACATCGAGCTACTTTGCCTAAATATTAGCATTATGATCTTGATTTGAAGCTTTCGTGACTGCAGGAATCCATACTCTTCGGTTATTTCGTTAAAGTCACGTAGGTAGAAAAAAATACAATTTTTTTTCTACCTACGTGACTTTACCGAAAGAACCCAAGAGTATTAGCATAATGCTTCATCCGATGTGGTCAGGGAGGCAGTTTACCCAGTGAAGCACACGTTAGAGGAGGGGGCGGGGGGAGGGGAAAACACTGCAACACTTGAACCTTATGGCGGGACCCCGGGGTCCCGAATAAACGGAAGTGAAAATCGTAATTAGTTAAAAGAAAATTGGCGACTCCGTCCCACACCGCGCACATCAACACCGCGACCCACCTGGCGCGAATCATCCTGTCGTGTCCAAGCGCAGCGGCGAGGACGAATGCGCAGAAGAAACAAAACTTTGATTAGCGCATCGTGTAGAGCTCGTCGTGCGGAATAGATTGCCGCGTCGTTCTCCTTCAACAGACATAAAATGACGTCGCAACGCAGTTGATGGCGAGAGCCGGGGGCTCATGGGACCATTGGGATCTCGCCGCCATAAGGTTCAAGTGCGGCCTCGCTTGTGTGCAGAGTTACGAATCGGGTCAAGCGTGTCCTTTTGCAAATTGCATAGAGCGACAGATCCTGACCTCCCCTTGATCCGCTGGTCCACTGGCACCCCCCTCAACATTTGATTCGCGGACCACCGCGCACAGATGCTGTTCATTCTGCACCGTTTTGAGGTCATCCGTGTCATGCTTCGCCTCTCGAGCGCGTCCTCCGCCTGTGTTCGACATCGTCATCGAACACACACGGATGGCAATTTTCAACAAACGGCAACAGATTGGCAAGTTGCTTTATCCAGCAGTGGATTCGCCTGTAAGTCGATATCAATTATGATTATTAGAGCGGAGTAAACTTTGTCAAGCCCGCCGCATTAGTAGTAACAGTATCCGGCTGCCGTGCACGCTGGAGCTCCCGTGCCTTTTGAAAATGTAATCCACGGTAACCCGAGTCAAAACTGACCCCACACTGTAAGGGTTACTCAATAGCAACTTAATACATGCGCTTTCTCAAGTCACTGCGGCTGGCCCGATGATTTATTGTGCCCGTAGCAATGTATCCCCGGGCCCTGAAAGAATAGATCGACTGCCGCTGAAAGGCCTCCTCTAGTCGTGACCGTTTGGAATGAGTGTACGGGTGGCGATTACATATGGGTGGCCACCCGTGGTGGTGGTGGTGGTGTTTGGTGGTGGTGCGTGCCTGTAATACGGTGCTCTGGAGGAGTGGTTGATTATATTATTGCTCTTTAGTTCTTTCGGTAAAGTCACGGAGAAAGAAATAAAATATAATATTACAATAGGACGTTTCTATTGCAACACAAGTAGCCATCATCAGGTGCAAATATATTATTTCTGCAAACGACTTGCGAGGATTAACCAGGACACGTGGCTTAACCAGGACACGTGGCTAGCCGTCGCAACAAAGACGGTCCCTGTATCGCGCGCACTCCGATGCGCTTCTGGAACGCTCTTCCTTCCGATATCAGGAAGACGCTGGAGCTATGCACTTTTAAATCTAGACGTTAAATACATTTCTTTAGAACTGCGTTTTGTTGTTTAGTTTGTTGTCCTTCCCCCGCACCTCCGATTAGCACGGTTGGCTAAATACGGGTGCGACAAAAGTTAAATATGCTTACATGGTGGGCCGGCAGTCATTCCTTCTCTTTGTTAGTCATTCCCACATTTGCATATGCATGCACCCTCAACCACTGGCTCCTCCGACTACAATTTGAGTCGCCTCACTCTTTCCAATGACGGTCCGCCATCAATTGTCCACAGCGTGCATGAAATGACACCAGAACATTTAAAAATGAGACGAAAATCTTGATGTTCACAAAAGGCTTCGGAACACCGGGACAGGCTTCCTGAAACCGGGACATTTGGCAAGTGCTGGGGTTGGTGGATCAGGTAGAGATCACACTTGTGTGAGAAATGTGCACGTGCCTGCAGGCCAGGGAGGTGGCACGGAGGTGGGGGTACAGGAAGTAGGTTCTTCCTTGGATCAGACGTGTTGAGTGTTAGTTGCTTGCTTTACGAGTTTGGCTTTATCTGGGTGTTCCAGCTTCTCCCAGCATAAAGCAAAGTAATGCTGAATTTTTCAAACATGACTCCGGCAAAAAGAGTTATAAGACTCAAATGAGATTTTCCAAGGTTAATATTACTTTTACAGTAAGAATAGGTCAACATTCAAACGACATTTGTTTCTACGTTCAACAGTAATGGTGCAGTACCTCTTTAACTTGGCGACCCGGAGCCAGTGTTGGAAATTCCACATTCCTTTGGTGGTGGTCAGTCTCTCCATAAAGCAACGGTTATTGACTTCCTACAAGGTGGTACTAATTTATTGACCCCATGTGAAGTGCCGACTGAGAATTCGAATTTCCAACCTTCCATTAGCAATCGTGCCACTCCAGCTGAAAAGATTCATCCCAATACACATGCATACTTTGCTTTCTGAAGAATACTGTCCATCACGCACCGCACTATGAACTTGTTGGGAACCTGAGTTTGATTCTCGGCCATGGCTAACATCAGTGGCGAGTGATATCTGAAGCCGTACTGACCAGGGATGGTGAAATATGGTCAAACAACCCCCCTAATTGACAAAGCATGTGGAGGCCTTCCCCCCACGGTGGACTAACAAAAGGCTGTGAATGATTTATTAACTTCTTGCCAGGTTAGAATCCTTTGAAAGAACTGTTTGTTTATTTCCCCCGGATCCCCAGCTTTCACCAATACTGTGGCAAGTACTCTAATGGAAGGGGATCCGGCTAAAATGAATAAAGCAAACAAACCGACCGTCGCTAAAGAAAAAAAAACACATTCACAAAACAGCGCAATTATATTTAGTTCGTTATTAAGCCTGTCGTGAAGTCAGTGCCACATGCTCAAAGCGGTCTCTGACTTCTGCCCGCTTGTACTAGTTACGAGCATATCATCATTCGCAAATGTGCGCCACCCTAAAGCCTGCTTTACTGAATACAGAGGTCGGATATAGGCGCTCGCTGCGTCTGGTTTGACATTGCCAATGCAGCCTACGAATTATAGCCCTGGAGTTATGGGCAAGCGGAGAGCAAGCGCAGCAAAAGGTATTGTTGCACTATACTTCTATGCTCCTGTGTCTCTGCTGCTCCCCCCCCCCCCCCCCCCGCTTTCACCAACACTCGCTGACCACAGTGGCAAATAATGGTCAAATAACCCGCACGACCCACATGGCATGGGGCTAGCCCTTATCTAGCAGTGCATTGACACAATGTCTGTACCGTCTTAATGGTGTCACGCAGGAGCAGTTCAGAATGGAGGAACCAGATTTTGGGCCATTTTTTTGTGCCCCACGTCATATATGGCTCTTGTTAGTCGGGCACGCCGTCATCTGGCAGTGGTTTCACAAAGACGCTGGATATGCGGCATTCGCCGTAAACGATGAGAATAATATAATAAAAATAGCGATGGAGCGCTACTCAATTCCCCAGCCGTCCGCGAATACAAAACACCGTGTTCTCTTTGCAGGGTTCTGTGGGTGCAGCAAGCGGCTGGGATCTCCGTTTACCCACTCCTGGCACGGCTCGCACGTCCTGTGCTGGGTGCGCTTCTCGCTCTTGCCGTGCTCGCAGTCGGCTGTCTCTACGTCGCTGGGGAGAAATTAGACAGCTTCGTCTGGGGTGAGGCTGGGAGAGCGAGCAATGGGTTGCTGTGATTTGTTTTTTTGTTTTGTGTGTGTTTAACGCAGTGCAGGAACACGAACGAGACGGTGCCGAGAGGTTGTCGCGACCCAGCGCTGTTGACGATGCCACATGTCGCCATCGCTTCCTGCCCTTTTCAACGGTTTTATACTTAACTTGACTCCGATGTTTGTCGTGGTCAAATCTTGTAATCAGAAGTTAGTATACTTCCTGTTGTCCAATCAATTCCAAATTTTGCGGTAGCAATTAAATCGTTACTTTAAAGCAATTTACATTTTGTATGGACGCCTTATTATTTATATATACTTGTGTAGATCAAAAACGCCGCGGTCTCTAAACTTTTACATCGCCTCGCCCAAGAAGCAGACGCCACGTGTCTCAGACGCGCCAGTTGTGAATAAACCCATTGTTTAAAAAAAACTTTTTTAAAGGAGTTTAGTATAGATGCCGTGGTGGTTTATAAAGTACAAGCCCGACCACCAAGTTCTTCTCTTACAGCATCATTAACATCGCCGCCACGTTCTCGCTTCGCATCATCCCCTTATTATACAGTCGACATTTGCCCTTCAAGAACCATTCTTACTTTTCGATTTAAAGCTTTCGTGACTGCAGGGATTCATCTTCTTGATTCTTTCGGTAAAGTCACGTAGACGGGAAATAATAAAATAATACAAATAAAACATAATCAAATAAAATTCTCACGACGTTTCGGCCACAACGCAAGCAGCCGTCCTCAGGTGAAGAACATGGCTGTCGGAAAGACAGCATCTGAATGAGACGCTGTTTTTCCGACAGCCCTGTTGAATTTTTATAATTTTATTATTTCCCTTATACGTGACTTTACCGAAAGAACCAAGAAGCCCATTCTTACTGTTTCATCACTGCTGCTGTCCAAATTTCGGACTTCACTTTGGCCGCCAGTCTCTAAGTCTTCGTGAGCTGCCCTCCTGCATCGTGTGCCCAGGACATGCCCATCAAAGGCTGCTGTTTTTTATTTAGTCTCTAATCTCGTCATGTGCTTGGATGGGTAAACACCATATGTAACGAGCGTTATCGACTGCGTGTGGTGGGGAGCGCTAGTGTGACAGTTAGCAAGCTGCGCTTCGAACCGGGCGACTCTAGGTCGACTCAGCCTCAAATGAGTACCTGGCGCGATGTGTGAACATCGCCACTGGGGAGAGAAAGACGGCCGGGCGTGGTGCTGGCCACCCTCCCCCTCGTGTGTCGTTCTGGCCTTCATAGGTGCTCGCTAACAGCTCTTGCCCCAACCAATCTGTTACAGGCTATACGGGGTCTTTGTCTTCGTGGTGGGCAGCAGAGGCCAGGGAAGGAAAATCCATCGTACTGTATGTTCATAAATCCATGCACTTTTGTCTTCGCCAAACCCACACTGACCTGTGTGACTAAGTATGGTCAAACAACACCCCACGACCCCTATGCCATTTGGAAACCCTTATCCAGCAGTGGATTGACAAAGGGCTGTACATTTACACGTGTACATAACGCCCGCCTGGAATGTTATATATTACCAGCTTCAAAATCGCTTGCCCTATCCTGCCCTGAAATGCCTGAAATCATCCGCAAACACGTGCGTTCAAAAGCCACGCACGCGTCTTCTATAGAAGTTCTGTTCAACTCCAGCTCGGTGACCCAGACAGCGATGCAGACACATTGCCCCTTCCTACACTGCCAAGTGCCCTCAAAACACAATCACGCAACACCGTGCAGCCTGTGCCGATCAGCCGCCCTGGGTTGGTTTCATTCTCACATGATTACGAGGGACGTTCATGTTTGTGTTGCGAGGTTGTTTGGACGGTAATGGTGGCGATATGTGTTGTGATCGGCATTGGTTATCGTACATTGCTGGTGTATTTGTATGTTCTACGTGTCATAAGCGGCATTGCTTTATTTCGAAAAGCTCCTTTCGTGTGAAGACTGGCAGCACATAGCAGACAATGTATGTTTACGGAGAGTCGCGTTTAGATCTTAAATTTGGAGCTTTCGTGACTGCAGGAATTACTCTTTGATTCTTTCGTTAAAGTCACGTATAAAGAAAAAATAATAAATTAATAATAGCATACGACGCTTCGATTGCAACACAAGCAATCATCGTCAGGTATAAATGAAATAGCAACAAAAATCTAACCAGAAAACTATAGACAGATATCTGTCTGCTTATATGTCTGTCTATAGTTTTCTGGTTAGATTTTTGTTGCTATTTCATTTATACCTGATGACGATTGATTGTGTTGCAATCGAAACGTCGTATGCTATTATTTAATTTATTATTTTATCTTTATACGTGACTTTACCGAAAGAACCAAAGAGTATTCGCATTTAGAGTTATACATTAACAGTGCTTTCCTGCTCAATTGGGTATGTTGGATTGCACTCAACTTCTGCTCACAATGCTGAGCCTCTGGTAGAAATTCTGCATTCATTTGCTCAGGGTTAGTCTATCCATACAACCACTGTTGACTTTCCTAAAATTGGTACTCATTGTATTGACTCTAGAGGGATGATAAGCTGAGATGACTGACCCCCCTCACTGAAATTTGAACTTGTAACTGATTGGTCGACAGCTCCTCCACCTGGCCAATAGATGAAAAGAAAACACCGTATAGGTAACCGTCTTATTTTAATACTACATTCCTGGCCATTCTGAATCATAAAGGCACTGCTTAGCTCACATAGAGAAACACACAGAATAATATCAACATCGCAGTTGCTCAGACGTTTCCGTAAAAGGAATGTTATTGAATGTTATTTAAATATATATTTTTTATCATTCATCATCGACATTGAACTATCCACTGCTGGATTGAGGCCTCCCCAAGTCGTCACCATCTCTCATGGTCCCTGCCTTGCAATGGAACAATCCATCTGGCCCCTGCAAATTAGCAGATTTTGTCGCTCCATCTCCTCCGTTGATGACCCTTGGCTAACCCTCCACAGGTCACGAGGGTTTCATTACATTTGCATCGCTTTCGTCCGTTGAATTTTTCTTCTTCAAATTTTATATCCCAAAAAAACGCTATCATTTGCATTCCTGATCAGAATAAGTTCAATAACATTTAATTTATTCGTATTCATCGGTATGAAAATATACTTCAATTTGCGAAGATCTTAACATAGTGGTTAGAGGTACCACGCTATGAGGTCCAGTTTAGATTCACGGTTATTTTGTTTAACCCGTTGAGAACTCAAGAGACCAAGATAGTCTCAATGAGCTGGGTTCACCAAAATGAAAGAAAAAAAAGCGAAGCAATAACAAAGTACAACGATGAAGCAAATATAAATTGTAGCAAAAAACTATCGAATGATTTGATTCCCAGCCATGGATATCAAGAGTTTTTTTTTAGTAATATTAAAACCCTTCCTGGGGTAGCCTCCTCCTCACCAAACCATACTGACCAGTGCGATGACGTAGTGGCCAAACAACCCACGTGACTGTCATGGCATGGGCAAGACCTGAATTGATGAATGGTTGTAAATTATAATTTTGCTGTATCCTCCAGATTATAAGATGCTCTGGAAAGTAAGACGCACCCCCCCCCCCCACCCCAAACTTCTTGTGCACAGCGTCAATGCAGTTGTACGAATCTGAAGACACCTACCAAATGATAAGATGGACACCTTCAAACTTTTGCATTAAAATACAGGGGGGCGGGAAAGTGTGTCTCATAATCTGTGGGGGGGATACGATAACACTGTATACTGTCATTTGTGTTTCTATCATTTACAGGGAGAGAAGAGGTGATTTCCAAATCGGACTAACGCTGAGTCACAGCTGAAAAGTTCTCATCTCAAGTAATATGTAACTCTGGTGCAGCATTGCAAGAGTCACATAAACGTTGCCATGCTTTTTTGGTGAAGGTGGAAAAGGTGCAGCTCTGCAAGCTCTCTGCAAGCTCATGCCCATGGAAGGTCCACCACTGGAGGAACCTCGAAGAGGGTATTTTTTGGCCTACTCTTCCACATTGGCCAGATATCTTGGAAGAGGTGGGAGTAGCAACGCTTACCCCACTCCGTGCAACCTGCCGATTCACTAACTGTGTTGTACCCATTTGTATTGCTGGAATGCTGATCGAAAAGTCTTGTCCAGTAATCGCCTTTATAAACAATGCCTATCTCACAAAGTGTACGTCGTCTTTGCAATTGCCGTGTATCTTAAGGATGTTGTCTTAAACGCAACGCAGTTATCAATTCAGCTCTCAAGAACGAGATGCTTTACTTGAGACAATAGCCAGCGTTAGATGAGAGAGCACTACTTAACGCAGCCCTGGAGCGTGCCTATTGTTGAAAGGTCACGGTTACTGAAGGGCCGGGGTGGGTGGGCATGACACGGTTAATATTAAAACACACTTTATGTAACAGATGGTACGTGCTAAACGGAATGAGAAATGAAAGATAAGATCTGCTTTCGTCGATGATGCGTTACTGCTCTAGCTCGCAAGGTTTGGCGAACTAGTGAACTTGAAGGGAAAGAAAATGCCACTTGTGTTAAATTTTACGAACAGTTTGAGCTCGAGCACAAGAGAGGTATGCTCAGCCTGCGTCAGCCGTCCCAACGCTAAAAGGTTGACTCGATTGACCCCAGCTGTACAGGGTTCTCCAATCATAACCCTTCTAAAATACCGAGAGATCTGAGAAATGATTTTAAACCAAAGCCTCTGCAAGTCTCAAACCAATCTCAATACACGCATAGAAAAATCTTTGGACACTTCCGAATGCATTTCCCCCCAACGCGATTCGCTCGCAGCATTCAATGGCGATGCACAAGCCGAGGCCGCTGATATCTTTGCGGATTCGTCGCACGGTCAGCGATGTGACTGCGCAAGAAATCATGCGCTGGGGGTCAAGTGAGGTGTGCTCGGTGAGGAGGGGGGGGAGGGGGCTCACACAATCGTTTCGCCTCGGCCAATCGAACGCACGAAAGTCTCGAGTAACAAATCGTTCACTGCTCTGGGAACCGATTTCGGTATCGGTGAATGGATTACCCCGTAGTTATGCATTGTCGTCATCCACGGCCATTCGCTGATGCGATGCGATGCTGTTGCTTTCCAGAGGGAAATGTCAATCATCGCATGCCACGACTGTGGAAGGACGGTTGGGAAACGTTCGATTGTAAAACAGAAATACAATGCGGACCGTGTGAATGCAATGGCCAATCGATATCAAGAAGGCCGCAATCTGCCCGGCAAGTGACTCGTCATATACAGAAAGTGTTCGAACTACAAATCGCAGCATGGACAGTGAATGCTGCCCTCTACTGTACATTATGATTACATGTTCAGACACCAACAGGCTTGGTGATCGTGCTTATGTCAAAACACGTTTTCATGAAAATCTACCCCCCCACCTCAGCCTTTGTCCACCAAGCAGAGCGAATATGCGAGTGGGTTACTCTACAGTTAGTCAATCGGCCGATCGCGTGTGGTGGTGGAATGTCTAGATACAAAAACGTCCGGTTAGCATGGCAGAGGAGACCAAACATGCGATTGAACTCCCGTTTAGTGGAGGCCCTCCTGCCAGCAGTGGCATGAGTAAGCAATTACAGGGCTGCACCTTGACCTTTTTGTAACAACAACAACAACAACCTTTGTCATGTTGCTCCTGTAATACAGAAAAGTACTCAAACATGTTTTTTTTTTAAAACAAGAGTCCAAAGTGATACCACCAGTGACAGCCAATTGAGACTCAATACCTCCCACGGGGGAAAAAAAACTATTTCAGGTCACGATTAGTTAAACAGTCGTGATGGGTGTTGCGGTGTTGGCTGATATTGATACAATACCATCAATATGCAGATTAGCGATAGCTCAGTATTGCGAGGGGCATTATTTTGTTAATTAAATAAATAGCCCAAGTTGATAGTGGGAACAACAATTATTGAATTAATCTTTTCCCCAGTTGTATAGTTTAGTTTCCTAGGTATTATTATTTTAATGAGGCGAGTGGAGGTGCAGTGGTGAGTGCACTGCAGAATTCATTACAAAAAACACAAAAAAGCATTTGCATTACAGCTCAGAATAATTTAAATAAAATAAATATTAGTATCCGTTTATACGAACGTTTGACTTCATTTGCATGAGCTTAACATGGTGATTAGCGTACTGGGCCATGAACCCAGCAATCCGAGTTGAAGTTTCAAGTTCGGATGCACGGTCTCCAAAATTACAAAAGCAATAACAATGAAATGAAATTATACTACACAAACGAAGCAAATAGAAATTAAAGCAAAAACAACCAAATATATATTCCATTCCCAGCCATGGTTGATATCAGAACCAGTTCTTGAGGCCTCATTTATCAGCTGTTTTTGCTCCCATGTGTTGGGAGCTCCCAGTACTGAACTCAGTTCCCGAAAAAACTCCCGGCATGTGGAGCAAAATGTAGGATAATATACCGGACAACACACGGTACTTTGGGGGTTAATACAGCACAACCGCATAAAGTACGCAGTAATATATAAAAAAAATTGTGACTTGATTGAAAACCATCCATTAGTTTAGAATCGGCAGAAAATCCCCTGCTCAGGAGCAGGATGGGAAAGGACTCCATCACCCAATATGATATGGCTCTAGGAATAGCCACCTTCTAATCCCTTTTCGAGTGATGAGTTCCAGCCAAAGTATAAACAGCGTTTAATGTTTGCTTGAACACTGGGGCCAATCCACATATGTGGTTTATAACATTGCCAAATGCTCAAACGTGGGTGATATGCCCAAACGTTGGGTACAACACACTTGTGAGAATTGCATTGATGTCACACGCTATAGTTATGTAGTCCCGATCCCGGATTTACGAAGTCGTTTGACCTCATAAGGCTTCTTGTTGACACCAGGCGTGATTGGCTTTGGAATCTCACTGACCCCTTGAGGGACTTGTGCTTAAGTGTGGTGTAAATTTGACTCTTGTGATGAATTCTAAGTATTGATGAATGAGCAACATTATTTTTAAGATGTCATTTAGGAAGAGAAAAACAGGTGGCTTATTCGGACTCAGCAAGTAATTAAAACTCCAGCCTGTAACGTGAATATTGAATAGGCGCCCTTAGGTATTCTGAATTCAATTGTTTTCTTGATAAGAGTAAGTAAAGTGGGTTGTGGCTAAGGGCAGTGTCGTGTGTAGCAAGGTTGCATTTAAGTATTTTATATTTAAATTGAACTCCCAAATTAAAGTGAGGATATGACTGCATTGTGTGCGTTAATATCACTCAGAATATGCCAGACCTCATCATATCTCAGAAGCTAAGCAGGGTGAGTCTGGGTAGTGCTTAGATGGGCAACCACAATACATACAGCAGCTGCTGTAGAGGCTGCGGCGGGGAGCATGCTGTCAGCAGATGACGGTGCTGGATTAAAAAAATACATTGTTGTACTGTACTATGCTCTAACGTCTTTGCTCCTCACATTCGCCAATTCACACTGACCAGCGTGTGGTCAAATAGCCCCCACGATGTTGCACAGCGAGGGGAGACCATCATCCAGCAGTGGATGGACAAAAGACTTGCACACAGGACACAGCATGCATTCTATGTATGTTTTTGGATGTTGTGTTCATGAAGTTCAAGAAAGCAGTAGCAGAGATTGTACCCCATCGATCATGAAGTGTGTAGAATTGATTGAGGGCCACTGTTAGTGTGGCCCTCATCGCATGAAGTTTGTGTGGCCCTCAGAACTTCGAATGCTTGTTTGAGCAGGAAGACACTTTGACCTATTTATTAACCAATTCCCTATTTATAACACTTACTTTCATTCGGCTGTTTCCACTAAAATACATTTCCCCCTGAAATTGCAAATCATTAATCATACACTCCAAATGGTGCCCTTGTTACATATTCCCATGTCTTGTAATAACTATTTTGAGTGCATCCTCATCACGTAATTTGCAGATATCCATTATTTCACCCCCACACACCTTCATTTTTAATCAACACTTGCCATCAATCTTTGCTCATGACACCCAATTCTCTTCGACAGAAATCTCATGTGCCCAGATGTTTTCCACCTGTGTTTGCCTTTAATAACCAACATATATGAAGCGCCGCAGAAAGTAATCATACCTCCTAATTTCACTAACGCCGAGACTGAGTATAGTTTTGTAGGTAATGCAGCTTTTTACCTTAAATTTTGAGTTTAACCATACACGCACCACAGTTCATATTCATAACTGACGTGTTGGACATTATTTCCTCGTGTTCTTTACGTTATATACCCCATCCCTAATTTTAATAAAACAAAACCGACTACAGCTTATTACCACCTATAATAATGAAAGTTTAATTGTGTTTAAACCGATGTGTCCTTGACAATAACAAACACAAATCTAGGCAAATGAATGCCAGCATTAATAAGGTAAACACTGAAAATCTGCAACAACCAAAAGCCTCCTAGGGTATAACTATAGAAGATGTAAAACATTTAAATGTGAACATGTTTCCACTGACAAATACTGCACGTGTGTGGTTGATGCAGTTCAAAAAAGTATTGTGATACATTCATGTTTGTTAATAATGTCGGTATATTTCATTATTTCACGACATATTGATCCAAATTGTTGTTTTGTCTTCAAGTACTCTATTTAAAACAGTTTGTTTTTTGAGAGCTTCCACGTGATGAAGGATATGGGGAATAGAGGTCACGGTGGCTTGTGCAAATCTAAGCACATCTCGACAGAACTCTAAAATAAATACTCGGTCTGGGAATTAGCTGGTCGCAAACTATATTGGAAACTGTCAAAATCAGCGTGAGATTCTCACGTTTCAAGCTGTATGCATGCCGATGTGTTTTTTTTTTAAACAAACACTTAATTTGATCTGAACAAGTGGTCGTTCAAACGTATAAACAACAGCACTGTGCAGTATTATTTACCAATCAATGTTGTGTTATAGCCGATAGACAAATCACAATGACGAATCCGATCTCATCAGATCTCGGAAGATGACCCATCGATAGTGCTCTGATTTGGTGACCATCATGCACAAACAGGTTGCCGAACAAGCCAAGAGTAGCAAAGGGCAGTGCCACACAATCCATTGCTGAATTCTACCTCTATGCTCCCCGCCTTTAGCAACCATCGATTGACCAGCGTGGCAAAGCATGGGCAGTAACCCCCATGTCCTGTGCGAGGTGGCGACAGCCCTTGTCCGGTCGGGGGATGTATGTATGCAGTGAACTTTAGAGTGGATATCAATGGACAAATTGGATGCATTGTTTCAACCTGTTTTTTTGTGTGTACAGTACTGCATTAATAAAAGTTCCAGGAGATGGCAGCCTGGCACTGCGTGTCAGTCGTCTCCATGGAAACCCCCTAATCCTGATGTCCCATGGGGGAATGCAAGCGAAAAACATCAAATCGAGATGACTTCAAGTCAAACGCTGCTCATTGTCATTCAGTATTCACACACAAGTGACGGATCGACTCTTTGCCGCTGTACAATATTTATTTGCGAATAGAACATTTTAACACGTAGGCCTTTGCGACCAATATAATCCATAATAGAGGTTATTTGGTTTAGATCGAGTAAATATATAATGTGTCGTTAAAACCCGCCACCACCCGACACAGCCAACTAGTAAGGGTTGTCACGTAAATTCGTCACTAGTACAGCACACCGGTGTGTTGGAGAGCCAAGCCACAACATTTATAGTCTGAGTACGACGTTTCGCCAGTAATTACAACTAGCTTCAACTAACTTGTAATTACAACTAACTGGCTGTTGCCTGATGAGGGCCTCCACATGGCTGTCACGTGGGTAGAGTGGGGTTTATTTAACCATACTTCACCACGCAGGTCGTCAGTGTGGGGTGGGTGATGCTCACGACATAGCCACGAAGCAGCCTTGATAACAACAGCCTGCTTTGTCCGTCACTATCACCCATCCAAAGACTATCTGACTGCGTCCAGGCTCGACGCCTGCTTAGCTTGCGAGATCTGACGAGATCGGGCGCATTCTGGGTGATTGGCCACGGACTTAAAAGTTCTTAAAGTGAGCACAAATAGCGCCTCGTAGAAGTGTTTTTTTAAATATATACATACACAGGGTACTTCAAAAAATGTTTAACACTTGGCACTGTCGTTTTTAATGGAAAAAGACCGGATGATACACTGTAACATGATAACAAATTTACACCATTGGAACCTCCTTTGCCAGTAGCGAAATATGATAATTGTTTTTTTACCCTTTTAGCTGGCAACAAAACTGACACCTTTACCCCGAGCTCTCATACTCTGATTGTGCATTGTCTTAGAGTTGAGCGCCTTTTGGCGTCATCTGGTCCATCACCATGTGAGACTCGGCTCTAAGAAAAGCTGTCTCGGGTGTGGACCAATCAATTTCAAGGACAGTGCATACATTATCAGAGCTATGTTTTTGTTTGCATTCTGACCGCAGGTATTGTGGTAAAAAAACAATTATCATGATAACAAATGTATTTTAATAGCTTCAAAAAGTCAAAGAGTTTCCACTTACTCGCCATCATTGTCAACACGTGCCTGGAATCTTCTCCAGGTGGTCTCCAGAACCCGGAGGCACATTTATTTTGGTTTAGTTGCAAATTCTCGGAAGCGTTAACATTCTTTTGAAGCACCCTGTATTAGAAATGAGTCTTTAGAGACAAGGTCTGTTGTTGAAATGGCTAACGGTAATGGTAACAACACGAATTATGTTACAGCCCTTTGGTCAATTTCTCTGCGTGTGAAGGCCATACTTCACCACGCTGGTCAGGACGGGTGCGTTTAACTACCGTGTTGTGGTTAACTGCCTTAGAGTACGTAGTTTTTTAAATCTGACTTTCTCTAGCGTAACCTTATCGCACAAACATTGGGTTTTAATCTGTGGACTGTGGCGGGAGATGCTGTCAACTAAAGCAACATTTTCCACTGAATATTTAGAGCTGGGGCTATAAGATTACAGCAGTTTCACCAAACAAAGTTATAATCGACTACTTTTTGGGATTTTAAGCTTTCGTGACTGCAGGAATCCATCCTATTTGGTTCTTTCGGTAAAGTCACGGAAGGTAGAAAAATTTAATTAAACAAACATAATATATCACGTTTCGATCGCAACACAAGTTGTTATAACATTGTTGTAAGAGCTCTCTCGCTGGTTCAGCAGTTCCTCTGCTGGATTATTTTTTCCGCCTGAGGACGACAGCTTGTGTTGCGATCGAAACGTCGTGATATATATATTTCTACCTACGTGACTTTACCGAAAGAACCAAAGAGTATGGCTATACTTTTTGGGAGTTGATTTCTCTGGTCCCTGTAACTATAGCAGCCTCGCGAAGGAGGGAAGCCCCCTACGAAGGATCACCCAACGGGACGCTACCGATTATATCAATGAACCACCGCCCATCACCTCCCGTCCAGCGGCACACGTCGGAATTAGACAGGAGAATTAGAGAGCTTATTCCCTCCCCTTCAACAATTAGTTTTGTGTTGTGATCCAACTAGTCGAGTAATCGAAGCGAGAATAGGTGGAGAACAGTTATCGATTGCTGTACTTAAAATAATCGGATGTGTATGTATATTGAACTTCTTTCGCACAGTACGTAGCCAAATGTGCCAATCGGAGGTGCGGTTTGATATAAGGCCGCCACTCCGGATTAAACTGGGTTCTCAAGTGTAGCTAGTTGATGGTTCCCACTCAGTCATCATCGTCTACACACACACACACACAACAAAAACATCAAAATAAATATGATTCTACGCTTAAATTGGCTACTTTCCAGCTCTAAGAATAAAAAAAACATATTGCATTGACAGTTATGTATCAAACCATCTCGTAACACGAGTGTGTGCATGTATGAGTCAGAGTGTTGAAAGTTCTACGCTTCCGACTGAACCAACAACCTGAAAATACTTATTTGATTTAACATTTCAGAGACCCAGACAGCCACACGGCACTTTCTTGAACGGCGACGGGTGGAGGCACCACTTGGCAGCTGTGGGGCCAATAAACAAACAAGTGAGAGGCGGGCTCAAGTCCTGTCTGTCGATCCGGATGCGTCCGCAAACTTCACCGACCGGACAATTTACAACCACAACAAGAACAATCAATACTGCACTATAAATACCACGCGTTATAAGCAACAACAAATGAGCAACCACTTGAGAATTGATTTTTCCCATTTTTTTATGGCAACAAAACAGGTGTTAAGATGTTAAAACACCAAACTGAAACCTTTTACAAGGAATCATGTGTCTGCATTAACCACAATACTTGTGGTCGGAATGCAAACAAAAAACGTACTCTGATAATAAATGCATTGCTCATGAAACTGATTGGTCCACACCATAGACAGCTTTCTTTTGAGCCTCGTCTCAAACGGTGTCAGACCAGAGGATGCCAAAAGGCGAGAAGAGCAAGCACTTGTCAAAGTTTTAAACGTTTACGGTATTGTAGTGCTGCATATACACAGTCAGCAACTTGTTTTGCTTCAAGTGCCCTCTGTACGTATGCTGAACTTCGTTCGCATCATACGTGGCCAACCGTACTCATCGGAGGTCCCGTTATGACACGGTTACGATTTGTAACGTAACGTGATTACATGCTGCATTTTTCTGCTTTCTACAGTTGCTGTACTTTGGAGAAAATAAGGATAAATGTAAAGTGTTTATGTACAATGACGTTCCCTACAAAAAATTGCACTATATACCAGTCACGCATAACAACACATTCGCACTGGTATCACGTACCACGACACTTGTGCCAGGCTATGTGCACAAATACATCGAGTAATACGTAGCTCAGGGGTAATACGTGGCGCAGTGTGGTTATATGTATCGCCTTACGCTATGAACCCGACGACCTGAGTTCGATTCACAGCATTAGCGGGCCGTGCAGCGGATTATTACCAAAGGGCTGTAAATGAAATTATCCGTTCTCTTGGTGCCTGGCGAGTGATATATGGACCAGTCCTCACCCGCCCTGTCTCCTCCTTCACGAACACGCACTGACCGCTGTGGTGATGTATGTGTAAACAACCTCCCCCGTGACATGCACAGCAGAGGCCTTCATCCGGCAGTGTATTAACAAAGTGCTGGAAATGTGTGATTGGAATGTAACAAATTATAACGTGCACTGACTGTATTTGGATGAAGCAAAAATTGGAACGGCATCACTACATTTCTGATATATATTATTTCAATCACCTGAAATTTCAGCAGGATTTAGTCGAGAAAACCTTCCAATTTCAAGTTGAATTATTCAGCATAACTCCACGACAGCCCACCACTCTGCTCTCGAGCCAGCTCTGAGATGCGACCGCCACTCGCTTGGAACTCGGGAGGGCCATGGGTTCGTTCCCGACCGTGACCATGCCTGTTTCGAGTATTCGCGAAGTCTGCTTGATCTTCCCGTGGTTGTCGCATGAATTTTTCTCCGTGTTCACCCCGGTTTTTTTTGCCCTACACATTTAGAAACATTGCGTTCAGATGATTTGGCTCATCGAAGAGGCTCATGGCCTATCCTGCGTTTCTCCAGGTCGCCCCTTACAGCAAAAAATGTCAGTACTGTAGCCCAGTGGACTTTACTTAGTGAATATAATAGATTGGTGTAGGCCAATCAGTTTCAAACATAATGCATATATATTGTAGCATATCATGCTTGTCGCCACGTTCACCACAAGTACGTGTGTTCAATGCGAACTTGATTCCTTGCAAAAGGTTTCTACTTGGTGTCTGAACATCTTAACACGCCTGTTTTATTGCAAGAAAGGGTCAATGCTATTCTTCTTTTTTGTTTCCATCGTAGTTTATAGTTTGCGTGACGGGCGTGTGCCTGCCTGCCTAAGCCTGCCCAGCGGGGGGAGGGGGGGGGTCTGTGCTGCAGTGCGAACGAGGTTGGAGTCTGCACTCAACCAGTGGGGGGGGGGGGGGGGGGGACAGGCATCTTGCACATGCATGCCAACTCTGGGCGAAAGCTCTTCTTCGATCAGGGACTGCAATTTTTGGTGACGACTTAATTCCAGGTAACCCTATTATTTTCATTTTTTTTTCTATCTCCGTGACTTTACCGAAGGAGAAACACGAATACCTTTCACTCCTGTCATAATAACACCGGCACACATTTCATTCCTGGGGACACGTTTCGCGTTCTGTACGCAAACTGCTGCCGTTGCTATATGATCAGGATTGCAAGACGCTCCGGGAAGTTGAGACGCGTGCCCACATTTTTTGTCCGCTGTCAATCAATCAAAAAAAATCTGACTTCTCATGCACACCTACCGGATAATTTGTCGCACCCCTAACTTTTGCTTTAGAATACAGCGGGACGGGGAGGGTTAGTGGGGTTTATACACTGTAGAATATGGTAAATATGGGATGGAGGTTGAGGTTCAGTAAAGAAAAAGGTACATCTGATAACACGCTTCAAAATCATCCGTGGAAATATGTATTACTGGCTGCATTTATTGACCAAAATTGAGACTACGCTTGGAGCAAAAGGGAGAGAGGTCTGCTGTTATGTGATAAGGCCATCCACTGGATTATACCATTACTGCGAAACGCTCAGACACCCCTGCCCATTTAGGGTAAGAGCAAAAACCATTGCATAATACACACACACACACAACACACAATCATTGCTGCCAACAGTAACGCCAGAACATCGTGGGGGCTTATTCTTTTTCGACCTCTTCATCTTTTTGGGGTTTCACGCAACGAGAACCCACGAACGCGCGCGCGCTCGCCCGCCACGTGCGCTCATCATCATCATCCAGCGGGCCGAGCGCGTCGTCTTCGAGTGCTTTGCGTTCGCAGAGTTGCGTCAAAGCGGAGGAGGGAGAAAGGGAGTGGACGAGGGAGAATGGTGCAGCCCCGCCAGACGTTTTGTCGCCACATAGCACCGCGTTGAGAGAGGAGGGAGGAGGCGGCGCTTCTGTGCCCGCGCAGAAGACGAGCAAGGGAGAGGGAGGGAGGGAGGAAGGACCGCGGGATTCTCCTCTTCCAACTCGCTTCTTCCACCTCGCTCAGCAACGGCGGCAGCAGCAACAGAAGGAAGACGTTTCACTTTCTTTCCCTGCGGGCTGCGTTCGTTTAACAAGTACGTCGTCGTGGTCGGGAGGCGAGGCCTCCGCATCACGAGATAAGATTAAATGCTGCCCCGGCTGTATTTTCAGGTGCACTCACTGGTGGTGGTGATGTGTGGTTTGTGTCGACCTGGGCACCGATAACAGGTGGGGAACCGGGCAGCATGGTGATGGTGATGATGATGTTGTGTGTACTTAATGTGTCACTGCATACGTTATTGTACGCGATGTTTAGTGATTGTATTGTACGTAAAGCGAGTGTTTAGAGAAATGCTTTGATGAATGTTGTTGGTGTTTTTGTAACCACCCCCTCCCAAAAAAAATTTACACATTTCACCGTTCTAGAAACACTGCATATGCAACACAGTCGTGCAATTAAAAATGATGTGCAGGCCCCTGTTTGGCGATCCACTGTTGGTTGGATGTCGTCGGTTGTGGGGGTTGTTTGACCATACTTCACCACCCTACTCGGTGTGGGCTGGTCACGTCTTGTTGGCAGAGGGGCTGTGTGGGGGGGGGGGGGGGCGCAGGATCAGTCAAATGAATCGCCACCGATGTCACAAATCGCCATGGCCGAGAATTCAACTCGGATGCCCCTTGCATTGGGTTCGGAGCGCGGTGCTCTGATCACCGTTGCACCACCGCGCACTTTTCGAGGCTTGCTGATGATCAACGAGTGACATTTTACTTTTGCATTGCGTCTATGCACAAGAGCTTTGTTGCTTATCGGATTCCTCCGGTACAAAATAAATATTGTGATTCTGAAGTGGACATTGCGTCTGTGAACAAGAGCTTTATTGCTCATCGGATTCCTCCGGAACAAAATAAATATTGTGATTCTGAAGTGGGCATTGCGTTTGTGAACAAGAGCTTAGTAGCTCATCGGATTTCTCATTGTCGTGGAGACACTGCGATGCCGAGTCGTAGTTGTTGGCGATGCCTGCTTTGGAATGCACAACCTGCTGTCTCCCCCATTCAAGTGATGAGCGCTGCTCTCTCCTCAGTCTGCATCCACGCCGCACCGCCGCACACGACACGCGCATTGCAAAGAATAAATTAAGTTGCGACGGGATTGTAACGAACAGACGCTGTAATTTGTTTCGCGGAAGAATGATTTGTTACTGTCATTGACCCCGGCCGGTTGCGTGGAGGGCTTCATTCGTGAAAATGTGTTCATGAACAAACTGTACTCCCTTTTCAAAGTGCCCGGTTGTTCCTTGCTGTGTGTTATTGCGCGTTCAAAATAAACTTGAACTTTGGTCTTCGAGATGTAATCCGAGTGAGAAACATGTGCAGCGCAGCACAGCAAGTAAACTTCAACCTACATTGCCGTGGTGAGGCAAGAGCAAATTGAAGCGGGAAGCTATAAAGATAATAAAGAAAGTCGATGTAATAAGAGTGGCAGTTTTAAGTTATAATCCTTTGTCAATGCACTGCTAGATGAAGGCCTCTAACCATGCCATGTCGATTATGAGTCATTGTCTTTTTTTTTAAACCATACTTCACGCTGGTCAATGGTAGTTAAGAGTGTGTTGGGGGGAGGCAGAGTGGGGGCACAGGGCCTGTTCAGACATCAATCGCCACAGCTATTTTAGAAATTGCTAATATAATGGCCTGTCACTACGCCGCTGGATGTAGGCTTCCCAATGCCACGTCACTTATGGGTTTTAAAAATACCTCCACTGTAAATGCCCTTCATCCAGGAAAGCCTCACCGAGGGCTGAAGGCTCTTTCAGGAGGATTCTTCATTGTAATTCAGGATTAGCTGCAAAACAGTCCTGTATATATAGTAGCAATAATAAAAAAAAAATTGAACAACATGATGATTTTGTCAACCAAGGTGTCTGCTTCGAATCATCAAGATTCATGATACAATATTTACCTGCTGCTCTCAAGCAAAGATTCTGGATTCACCGACACTGCTGTCACGTGTTTTTGGTCCAAGTCTTCCATTGCAAAAACACACGTGACTCGTTCTCACATGGTGAAATCACGTCACTCAGGCATACCGTCGATATACCGGGCACAGTGGCACACGTAGGATTTGCCACCCGTTCTGGATTTCCTCATTTGAGGTAGCTGTCCTTGTACGTCATACGACACCTTGACGTTTTTGTGAGTTGTGTAGAAACACATTCATTTTGACAAATGTAGTTGCACTCTTTTCCCAAATATGTCCCGGCGCTTTGTATCTTAGAGTTGCCAACTCCAAGCACGTGCCTTGAATCCACAGCTTTGGGGGCGGAGATGGTTGACCATATATAGAGAACCAAATGTAATACAATTTTGATTCATCATCATCTTCAGCTCCGGGTAATCCGATGCTTGTTGAAGACCGCTCCGAGCCTCCACGGCCTCTTGTGATTCTGTGATGTAGTAATTCACCTTCTCACGAGGTACTCTAATTGGAATGATAGTATGAAGCGGTCTAAATGCATCCGCATCTCAATAGGCTGTAAAAACACGGGGAAGACCATGTGGATAAAGCTGGAGCATTCAAACCATTGCGGGACTTGTTTTTGAGGACTACTCCAGAGTACAGAAAGAGAAAATATAATTGTTCAGGCCAGATAGGGAGTTGAGACAACATTCTGGTAGAAGTGTGGAATGAAAGCAGTTCATAGATCCAGTTATAGGGCAAAGATTATGGGAAAGTCTTGAGCCAGAACTCGAACAGGGGAAGGGTCAGGAACGAATTCCAGACAATGTGGAACAACAGCAGAGAACAACCGTCTTCCTGTTGAGTGATGGCTGACCTCGGTTGCACGTGACACCTGCAAGGCTCGGCAGGTGTCTCCCCTATCAGTATGGAGGTTTTATTATTTCCCCTCTTGCATGAGGCATGTTTTTTTCTCTTCCCCAAGATCTCCACTTTGTTCCCACATGCAAACATATTCAGTGACAGATTGGCCAAACAGGTAAAGGTTCAGTCCTGCAATTTCTTGTCACTGCTAGCGTAAGGGCCTCCACAAGATGAAGCTCTAAGAGATTCCCTCCCCTCTGAAGTGTGTTTGTTCTCCTCTTACACACTGGCCGGACATCTTGAAAGAGGCGGACGTAAACCCAGACTTTGGTCAACGACACGTGACCTATACTCTTTGGTTCTTTCGGTAAAGTCACGTAGGTGAAAATAAATAAATAAATACAATTCAATAAAATGAAACACGTGACCTGCCGATTGACTGTGGCTTACCCCTTTATGCTGCTGGGTGGAGAGAGGCGGGAGGATTGAATGAACTTGCCCCATCGTTTTCAAGTGCAGAGCTGGGAGGACTTCACTGGTGACCTCAGGATTGCAAGTCGTGTGTGCTACCCATGACAGCACAGCAGCATCCCCCATCCACAGGACCCCCATGAAGAGGATTTGATTTTAGTGGAGGTTTTCCAAGGTTAAAAGAGCTCATGTTCTACAGCATGTACATATTTATAAACGAATATCTTTCCACTATAGGAGACAATATGTCATAAAAAAGGTAATTGTATTTAGGCAGCGGTGAAGAGAGGCACGTGTTGGTCATGGCCCCATGAGACAGATAAGCCATCTTGTTTTTATATGTTTCCGTCAGTGACGGTAACGTTTTGTTGTTTATTACAATACAGATACCCACCAGTGAGATTAAGAATAACAAATGTGCCCATATCAGTCGCTTTACACAGGAGCATTCATTTAATAATATACTGCACAGTATATGACTGAGGCTTGCATTTGCAATGAAGTAATTGAGGTCACAAGATGCAAATATATTACACTGTAAGCCCTTTTGCTCAGAGTGCATAACAAAGCACTCGTGCAATGCCACGGGAAAAAACGATCAGGGCGAGCTGTGTAGAATACGCCCTTCCTTAAAATAAAAATACTAAAAAGTGAATGCATCTCTGTTCAAATGAGCATTTGGTGGTGCTCACTTCCATATGGGGTCCTGAGCCAGATTTGGAAATTCCACATTCCTTTGGTGGGTGCCAATCTGACAGAAGGACAGGTACTATAGACTAAAATTAACCAATAATAACCTAATTTTACGTAATCTCTTTCAAGGCTTCATGTGCGTTAAGCAGCACATTTTTGGAATTTAGTTTTCCTGGAAGAAGACAGAGGAAAGTTGATTATTATCCATAAAATTGAGAGTTGTTCATGTGCACGGATGCCCGGGTTTCTAAGGACATGGTTGTGTGGTCGCTTTGCATCACGCGGCTGCTGCAAATGTTTCCCACTCCTTTTTTCTCCTGGGGATTCCCCGAGTTTCCAGTTCCCATGTCGTGGAGGTCATTTTTTTCTTTTTCAACTCAGGCCTAACTAAGGGCCTCACACTTGAGCTTTCATCCTGAAATATAACTGGGGCTGTGCCCAAGGGAGCCGCGAGGCTCAAATGGAATGAAAGAAAAAACAAAGTCATGACTTTGATTGCTGACTTTGAGAAAGTGAGGCTGTGCATTCTGATTTGAAAGCGTTACTGCTCGATGTCTGTAAAACAAAAGAAAAAAGTAAAACTCCTCTGTAAAAAAAAAGTTAAAAGCGTGGAAAAAGTTTTTGGCTTAGTGTCCGCCTGTTTAATGAGACGGATGTGTCGTAACTGGTTAATTTGTAAGCGATAACAGAGATCACAGGAGTGAGATGGATTACAGCGTCACAGGACCGTGGGGGAAGGGGTCTCGCTACAGTCTTGACCAGCAACGTTCAAGGGGATGTTTGGTTTCCCTGAGTGACGTTAAATAGCACATGTCGGACATCACTAAAGGAAATGAAGAGGAGATGGAGTGATGAAATCGGCCGGTGTGCAGATGCGAGGTGGATTCTCTTATCAAAGTGATCGTGATAGATGGTTGGCGGCTTTGGGGATGCCTTCATTCAGCAGTGGATAGGCAGTGAATGATGATATTTCACTTAATTCATCTTCAGCCTGTGCATTGTACAGTTTTCCGTTTGTAAAATAAATACATTACAGTATCTCAATGCAATTAACATTAAAACATATTAACATGAGTCAATTGAAAAGCAAAACAACATGTGGTTAAT